CACCCACATCCTCAAGATCGATACTTATTGTAAGGACACTAAATAGATATTTTCTTTCATTTCTCTATTGAAAACTTTTCTTTATACTGATTATAAATACTCCTTCATTTTTTGAATTCAATAGATAACTCATCACTAATAGAATCAATGTATTTATCATCATTGACACCAAACAGTTCAATTTATTATGAAGATTGTTCAGAGTTATATTCGTATTATGAAGCAATACAAATGAACGTCACTATAACTGGATATTATAGTTTTCTAATCAACAGCGACATGAAAACCATGGACGCTTTTATCTACACGAATAACTTCAATCCATTCGATGTGTCCAAAAATGTACTGAGCCATGGTGAAGACTCTGATAATCAAGGTCAATTTAAAATCACAGCTGCTCTTCAAACCAAGATGATATATGTTGTTGTTATAACAACATCTTCTCGAAATTCAACAGGGAACTTTTCAATTCAAGTATTGGGCCCAAGTTACATCAATTTCAGTCGTATTTGTGAGTATCTATAGTATTTTAATGGATAATCAGCGGCACATGTATATCATCAGTAGAAAATATACATAAAATTAATCTACAAAATAATAAATAATCACTTTCAGTAAATATATCTGAAGGAGAAAGTAATATTGCAAATTCTTTACACTTATTTCTATATTATGCAAAATTGAATCGATTTTCTTTTTCATTAGTGAATACGTCGTTAGTTGTTCAAACAGTTTATACATCAAAATTGACAGCGAACAGTTCAAGGTACTTACGTAGTTGTTCACTGTCAAGTTCTTACTATAAAGCGATACTAGTGAATGTTCGTAGAACTGGTCTTTACACTTTCTTCAGCAAAAGCAATATGGACACATACGGTTCTATTTACAAAGATTATTTCAATCCATCCAATCCATTTGAAAATCGACTCTTAGCCAATGCTTTCAGCTGCAATCAACGTCAGTTTAGATTCACAATTGCTCTTGAAACTAGTGTCACATACATATTGATTGTGACCACCGTTTACGACCACGTGACAGGTGCATTCTCGATCTCTGCATCCGGTCCAGATAATGTTGATCTCAAGGATATTAGTAAGTACTTGCACTACATTGTAAGAGGAGAGCTGTATACAAACAGTCACATTAAATATATCAAATAACAGAATATTGCCAACAGGATCAGGACAATCGATCGCTAATTTGATGTGACTAATATTATCGGGGCTTCGAGTACAGAAAAATATTGATAGACTCGCTCAGCTGCGACATGCCCTTCGATATTAAGCGTGCATGAGAGATGACTTATGATGCTCAATTTTCTTTGTTTCAGTCAATTAAGCGCTATCATAAATCTTGAGTGTTGTTTTTGTTTTCACCGTATAGGTTCTCCATCAGTTACACGAATACCATATTCATTAGCTGTAGAATCGAAACATTTATCAAAGTTGACTACGAATAGTCAAACATATTCTCGAGATTGTCGAAAATCAGACTATTACTATCAAACTATACGAATGAACGTAGTGGAAACTGGATACTATGCTCTGAGCGGTTCTAGCAGTATGGGTACATTTGGTTATATTTACAAAGATGATTTCAATCCAATGAATCCTTTCGAGAATCTACTCTCACAGAATTATCGAAGTTGTAGTGATCAAGATTTCATGTTCATCGTTTATCTTCACACTGGCACAAAATATATTTTAGTGGTGACAACATCTTCTCCAAATACGACAGGAAACTTTTCCATTCTAACATCTGGTCCAAATAATATCATACTTGCTCCTTACAGTAAGTATTTTCTATTATTTGTACATCATCAACAGTGAATTACAACAGCCCATTGCACTCCATTTTCTCTCTTGAATAATAAAAGATTTGAGAATTTCAGATAGATCGTATAGTTTTTCTTCCAATCAGATAAGAACAGGAATGTAGAAATGTAATCTCAACACGACATGCCATGTATTTCTCTCTTTAGAGCAAAGTCTAACCAGTTGTTTCATTGGTCAAAAATGTCAGTTCTATAAAAAAAACATTGGTATCACTCTCGATGATATTTTACGTGATGAAATTCGACCGAACATGACATTCACCGATCAAACAATATTGATGAAAATCAATGCCGCTTTAACGATGATTATGTTTATTGGAGGTTTAATCAATAGTATTTTGTCTCTATTAACATTTCAAAGTAAAGATTTACGAAAAGTTGGATGTGGGATTTATCTCTTCGCATCATCAATTACTTCTATTCTTACAATCAGCATGTTTGTAGTAAAGTTCTGGTTTGTCGTTCTCACTCAGATGAATCTATCGATTCGTCTTTCTGTTGTTCGAGGAGGCTGTGTATCGATCGAACCACTTCTCAAGCTTTGTCTATATGTGGATGCTTGGCTCAATGCTTGTGTAGCCATTGAAAGAGCGATTCTCGTTTTCAAAGGAGTTAACTTCAATAAACAAAAAAGTCGACGCATAGCTCGATGGATAATTCTTATCTTACCATTCTGTATCATCGGTTCAATCATTCACGAACCTATTCATCGAGAATTACGTGAAGTAAATAAAGAGACAAACAAAGTGGATATCAACAGATGGTGTTTAACTCATTATTCTCCTTCTCTTCAACAATACAATACAATTATCTTATTTTTTCATCTTATTGGTCCATGTATTATCAATCTTGGTTCTGCTTTATTCATCATATTTGGATCAGCTCAACAACGATCAACAGCTCAGACAAGTCGAACTCCAAGAGAACATATTTATAATCAATTTAGTGAACACAAACAATTATTAATTAGTCCAATTATTCTTCTAATTTTGTCCTTACCTCGTCTTAGTATGTCAATGTTATCTGAATGTATCAATCCATCTAACCATCGGCTATTATTTCTTTTTGGTTACTTTATTTCATTTACTCCATCAATGCTTATCTTTATTGTCTTTGTCCTTCCTTCAGCATTGTACAGAAAAACATTTCAAGAAACATTCAGACGACCACGACGATTAATTCATCCATAATCAATATTTCTTCATTGTTTCAGAACTTTTCTAATTTATTGCTATAGTATTCGCTTCGCTTTGACAATTAATCGAGAAATTTCGATCAAACCATTAACCTGTTGAAAAATGAAGAACACTTAAGATGAAGACGAGATCTCACAAGTTTTGAAAGTGTTGTTTCTGAAACAAGTTCTCAGCTTTGTTATTTAATAAAATATTATGTCAATGTTGTTTTCATCCCTAAAAATATTATTTATAAACTGAAAATGATTAGATATAATGTCGGACTAACGATAAAATAGAATTCCAGCGTGAGTGTAGGTAATTAAAAGATAAACCCACACCCTCAAGATGGTTGCAAAAATGAAAGTAACCTTCACAATCAATATTTGAAGTATCATTGAGGGTGATTGTATGTGGGTGTGGAGCTGAGTTAAAGATAGACAAATCTAGACCATACTCACACCCTCTATTAAATATTAACTAAACGTTTAAGATAACAGACATGTTTTTCATAGGAATATGATGACCAAAGAAACAGTAAATGACATTACGAAATTTGATATTCATAGATATTTAACTTCATGACAAAACTTTACTAAAAACATGTATTTTTCATTAATAATGAATCATTATTAATATTAGTTTTTATTTTGTTGCATCTTTCCAGGATCAGAAATAAAAAGAAACATAAAATGAAACAATTAATGTATATTCAACAAAAACTAATATTCTACTCGTTCTGTATGTGTTGCAATAAAGTTGTGCGATATGTTGGAAAAAACCAAGAAGATTAAAAGAATGAAGCAAAATCGATGCGAGTTACAGAACACAAATATTCTTGACAATATCGAGTCACTTTATTCATTCATACATAACGGCCTGTAAAGAAAGCAACAAATAAAGTGTCTATTGTGAAGAATTTCAAGAAAGATGAACTTCAACACTTATGTCAAATACCTCGTCTTTTCCCTTCTGAATGGTCATCACCACACGAAGAAGCACAAACAGCTTATCAACGTGCGTGTCTTCTTGGCCATAGAGATATTGTACAATGTATGTTGAATGCTGGTATTCTAGTTGATCAAAGTTGCCCTGGTGGTGATTCGTATTCTACTATGCGTGGAGCATTTATGTTTGCTTGTCAATCACGTTCGATGCCAACAATTCAAGCTTTACTCGACGCTGGTGCACCTGTTAACAAATATGGTTCATGTTCTCTCGCTTATGCTGGCTCATTTCTACCTAGTATTTCTATCCATTATTCACGCAGAATCCTGCCAGTCTCTTGGGAGAATCTCTATCCCATTTGAGGGTGTGGGTGTAATTGTAAACAAAAAACATCACACACCGAGACGCA